TTTTTTTTTATATATATCTGTATTTATATCTTAAAAAAATTGCAATCAATAATACAAAGAAATGACTCACATGTTTACACGCGTGTATAGAGATATTCACAAATTAATCTTCAAAATTTAAAACAGAAAGTTGATATATATATATAAAATATAAAAGTACCTCTTTCTTCAACTTCTTTTCAGGTGCCATGAGACTTGTGATGATAATTTTAACCTAGAATTGAAAAAATAAGTACTGCAAACTTTAGAGAGGGAATGTAAACACCCTCAGTTTTGATTAGTGATTTTCTGATGTGGCAAGCCTCCAACACCATTTAATTAAGGGATGTGTTATTAAGTTGTGATGGACTATGGGTATCATATATGGGTGCCAACATGGTACCCTATTTGTATCAAAAAATTTTCAAATTGGGTCCATCAAGTCGAATTTTGTAGTGTTTAATTTTGAGTAAATTATAAATATATTGTTAAATTTTGTTTAAAATATTAATTATTTTATGTAATTTTAAAAATTATATATTATCTCTTTAAATTTTTAATTTTATAATAAATAATTTATTTTATTAATAAATTATTAAATTAATTAACAATATTTAATAATGTCAAAAAATATTTTAATTAATAATTCAAGTTACCACACTAGAAACATATTACAAAATCTCCAAATAATTTTTCAAAAAACTAAAGAGGTATAAGATATTTTGTTCAATGTTACGACTTTAAAAAAAATTATCAAAAATTTTAGGAAAAATTACAACAACAAAAAAGAAAAAAAGAAAAAAAAGAAGAGACTCAAAATTTGTAACAAAACAAATCTTGAATTTTTAATTTTACCAATTTAAATCTTAATTTTTTTTTGTTTTTTTCAATATAAACCATTCACCTCTTTTTGTTAAGTAAAATCAATAGAAAAATAATATTTTCATTATTAAACTCAATGTAAATATATATAAAATGTCTCAAATATCTATTTTCATGAGTTTAATGACTAAAATATATATATTTTATTAATTTTATTTAATAAAAATAGACAAAGGGTATATTGAAAATAAATTTAAACTCTAATATTTAAATTGATAAAATGAAAAAAATTAAGGTTTATTTTGTTATAATTTTTTTTTTTATAATTTGTTCAAAAATTTTATACAATATTTATGGACATGAGACAATACCATGAAAAATTCTATTATATACACCCCATATTATATATACTTTTAATTACAATATTTTCTTGCTTAATTATAATTAATTTTTTCTTTAATTATAGCATTATTTTAAAATTTTGATTATAATTTTTTCTAATTATAACTTAAAAAATATAAAATTATATTAAACTCTTCAACGCTTCTATAGTATAAGATAGATATACCATTTATATAGGCCTTGTTTGGAAAGTGACTATTTTAGTAGGTTATTTGGTTTTTTGACTATTTTAATAAACTATTTTAGTTTTTGTGTTTGAGAAGATGATATAAATTTTATTTAAGTTATTGTATTGAAAAATGTATTGAAATAATGTTTGAAATTAAAATGATAAATTTGTTCCTAAAAATATATTTTTTTAAATTGATGTCAAAAGGTAAACTCATAATTTACTCATTGATGAAACAATTTCTGTAGCTGACAGTGTAGATTGTGCCTACACTGTCGGCTGTGCAGCCTATTTTTTTTTTTTTTCTTTTTTTTTTGAAAAAGTCTTCAACAGTAGACTTTTTAGCTAAATTTTCATTTTACGCTATAATAACCTCTTTAACCACTTTCCAAACAGCGCCATAGTCTATCCCCAGTACCATTACCATATATATGGAACTTTGTATAGAACTTTTATAACAATGCTAGAGGGTCACAATGGCTCAAAATTGTCAAAACGACGTCGTTTTGGCATGTTTTGCATCCAAAACGGCGTCGTTTTGACAATTTTGAGCCATTGTAACCACAAAAATTATGACCCTAAAACATTATCCGAACTTTTAATAATAATATATTTTTTTTTTGGTTCCACTACCTAGTAGGAGTAGTAGGGTAGTAGGGTGTAGTAGTAGTAGTAGTACCAGCTCTGCATCATAATAACTGCATTCTGTTACAAAGCGTACCCACCACCACCACCACCGCAGCAGCAGCAGCGGCAAAAGCAGCCCCCTCCTCAATTTTCTTGCTTTTCTCCTCACATTTTTCCTCTCTGCGTGCTAAACCCTAGACATCTCCTCGTAAGAATCTCTCTAAGTATATATATATATGAATTTATATATGTATCTCTGTGTATATATGTATATATATGTATATCTACCAACCCTGCATCCCATTTCTCTGTACTATTGTTGTTCATAAACGATAAGGTTTGGTTGAATTAGAGGTATTGATTCGGTATAACTACTCTACTTCGTTTTCTCGTTGATCGAACAAAAGCAAACAGATCAGAAAATCCCAATTATTGAAGTTGGTTTATATGTGTATGTCGGCGTTTATTGTTGGGTTTTCATATTTGATGATCATGAACTGTTTGCAGCAGTTACAGTAATGAACAATTGTTATGGAAATTAGTTCTCTCTGTTAGTGTTTTTGGAAAGTAAAAACCCTAGACATCTCCTCGTAAGAATCTCTCTAAGTATATATATATATGAATTTATATATGTATCTCTGTGTATATATGTATATATATGTATATCTACCAACCATGCATCCCATTTCTCTGTACTATTGTTGTTCATAAACGATAAGGCTTGGTTGAATTAGAGGTATTGATTCGGTATAACTACTCTACTTCGTTTTCTCGTTGATCGAACAAAAGCAAACAGATCAGAAAATCCCAATTATTGAAGTTGGTTTATATGTGTATGTCGGCGTTTATTGTTGGGTTTTCATATTTGATGATCTTGAACTGTTTGCAGCAGTTACAGTAATGAACAATTGTTATGGAAATTAGTTGTCTCTGTTAGTGTTTTTGGAAAGTAAACATGCATTTATTATGTTTGTTGTTTTCAGTTCAATATGTGAGTGTGTTGTTTTCAGTTCAATATGTGAGTGTGTGTTTGTTGAGAACTCTGTTTGTTAATTTCTTTCTTTCTAGTTTGAGATGATATTTTTTGTTTATTTGTTTATTTATTTTTGAGCAAATTATGTTTTCTATCATACGTTTGTGGCATTGCTCTGTGTTTGTTTACAGAGATTATTAGATAAACAAATATTGGCTCTTATTCACTTGTGAATTGTACAAAGATTTTGTTCACATCTGAAAAATGATTTGAGTTTAGAGAAATGTTGTGCAAAAGCCCAAGTGCTTCCTATAGTCAATTCTTTATTTTGATTAATTTTTAACTTTAAAATCTGTTTGGCTGTAGAGAAACTAGATAAAAAGAAAACTTGTAATTTTACTACAGCTACTGTGACACTAAGGTTACGCTAAGGTTGTGTTTGGATCATAGATTTGGGTAGGGGATTTGGAATTCCTTTTCCATATCTCTACCCAAATCCATGATCCAAACACAGCCTAACTTATTTCAGTCAATAAGAACATTCATGAACTTATATATTTTGTTTCTCTTTCCACAGGTGTTTTTCACCTGGCAGGCTTCTTAGCTAATCAATGATAAAGATTAAGATTATTAATGCCCGAAATATATAGAATCTTATAGCCAATAGAAACCCAATAATGTGATAACAATGGCTTCACGAACTAGTGAGCATTCACGTTTCTAAGTCAAAGTTAGGTTAAAAAGCCTAAAAGATAAACATCTGGTGAATTTTTGATTAAAGGACAAATCTAACTTGCATTTGAAGCTTAATGTCATTCATGTTCTCTTTCTCCTCAAATGGAATAAGTTACTTTTATCAACCTCAAAGTTTCAAAGCAGGAACCAATAATTCACTTCCTCTGATGGTTCTCATTCTTTGTGTCTCTCATTCATCAATCCTCATCTCTTCCTTACTTCAACCCTCATGTTTGTTATTTATTTCCGTTGTACCCACAAAAAGAAAATTTATCTATCCCCGTCATATTTTAATGGTAAAACATCTGTTTCCATAATAATCAAATTTTCCTTTAATCCATTTATTTGTAACTAATGGTTCGTGGAGTCTGCATTTCATTTATCTTAATGCTGTTGTTTTTATATGTATACTGGACTGTTTTGCTACCATTTCATTGCTTGTGACATGGTAATATTCAAGCAGTTTTTGTTGTGGATAACATGGAAGGACAATATGGTCATGAGAACTATCTGCGGTTGATGTCATTGGATTTTGGTGGGAATACCAATCATGTGTCTCATTCATACCAAGACAATCCAAACCAGCAGCACATTATGCCAGCTGGAAGGAATCAGATGCTTCCCGTTGATCTGCCCCTGCCTCACTGGATTCATTGCCAGCAAACATCTCATAGTTATGTCAAGTATCTTGCTGAAAGTGGTGCCTCGGAAATCCAAAGGGAGATGTCACACAATAAACTAGGAGTGGCATCTAATTTCACACCTACTGATTCTTCTATTGGCATGGATGTTTGGAAGGTAGAGTCATACATCTATATATGCATAACAATAACATTCATGAAACTTCCTAAATTTAGTATTTTTGTTTTCCGGCCAAATTGAGATGAGAGAGAGAGAATGTGCCTGTGGTACACTATTTCTTCCCTTTCCATATAATAAATTGTTGCCGATGTGATTTCTTTTGATCCCAAATATACATGTTAGTCTTCCTGACTGTATAACTTTGGAACTAAAATACTGAAGGTTGAAAGATAATGCCGTCTATCAGGGTGTAAAATATACGAGGCCTCATAATGAAGGAGGACTAATGAACAACTTCACCAGTGCAGAATATCAGATACATGTTCAGGTCAAGTTTCTTACTTTGCCTTGCCCAAACCACAGTTCCTCCATGGAGTACATAGCATTTAACATGTTCATGTGAGACAAATATTTTGCAATTTCCTCATTCTTCACAGAAACAAGAATCAAATGAACCTCATCCAGGAGTAGCAGTTGAAGCACAAGGGTTCTCATCCAAACTACGCAACCGTATATCAAGACAGAGAGCCACTGCCACTGATCGTGTAAGCAAACTTCTTTAATAAATGCTAACTACATAGTTTGTAGCCTACAAAAAGTAGGCCTCAGAACTTGACCTCCAGATTGATTCTATATTCTTCTCTCCAAATGAAAGGAACCTCATGTTTATTACATTAAACAGGAGCAAATTTTTTTTACTACTGTACCACTTGGAACTTGTCAAACTCTTGCTTGGGGTGCATTGTGTGTTCTGTTTCCCTAACTGGCCAATTTTTCCTCAGACTCGCAGAATGAGGATTGCTGAGAGACTTGATGCCTTGAAGGAGCTGCTTCCACAGCCTAAAGAGGTGATACATATGAATTTGTGTGCATCTATGAAAGAATGCCACCGAACATGATTTTTACTGATTAAATTTGGAAAAAAATATAATTACCAATATGGACTCTTATAGAGTCTTCTATATCTTAAAATATGATTCATTTTCTCTTTCTATCTCCTCGCCCTACTGTATTCCACTGATAAAATTTATCATAAACCATAAATGAAAGTTGTGGATTGAAGTACAAAAATGTTCTACTTCGGGAATTGGTAATATCATTGTAAGACATTAAAGTTATATGAAGTCTGGCTGAGGAAATATTCTGGTATAGTACTTAGTAGGGTTTGGTAAGACCACTGGATGAACAAAAATGTCTAATTATTTTGTCCGTGAATATTAGATATGAGAGGAGGAGCCCAAATTTCTGTTGCAGGTTACTCGAAAAAAAAAAAAAGGTGGTTGTACCCTTTAGAGATCAAACAAACTTTGGGCATGCTAACATAGTAAATGCAGATAGTGGCTCATATTTCTTAAAATTGATGATTTTGCAATATTTGTCAGGCTTCATATCATCCATCTTGCATAAACAACTCTTTAGAGCATAACCCGGGCCAGTTGATGAGTGCTGCTTGATTAGTATAATACATTTCTCGTGGTTTTGCAGGGCGGTAAAGCATCTCTACTTGATGACATCATTGACCATATTAAGTATTTACAGCTTCAAATAAAGGTACACTTTCACCTCAATGTGCTTGCTTACCACAATGTTAGATTTACGACTTTAATTATGGTAGATGGGTAAGATGATAAATAGTTTTGCTGAAATGATCAGAGTTCTTCTGACTGTTGAGGACTGTCTTTGCTTTTCATTAACATGTTAGACTTTTTCATGGGGGGTTCTTTGTAGCATCTTAAATGTTGGTTTTTGGGGATTGTTTGGTGTCCCTAAGGTTTAATTCTGTATTCAGGATTGTTTATTAGACAATGAATTGAGATGGCAACTGACAACCAGTGGTCTGCAATTTTACTCTTGTTCAATACCGAGCCACATATTTAATATTCTTATCCTTCCAGAGGACCCACAGGAAGTTCTCTAAGAACAAAAAACTATTTCTGTAACTACAGAGAATTTTTTGGGGGGGTTCTTTTAACATCTGCACTGAGCAAATGACCAAGTGTTTGGTTTTTCATTCTTGGCAAGTGGGACCGCCTGTTTCTTGAAATTTGTGGATAAAGTACTTTTTTTCCTGGACTTGTAACCACCTGCAAGCCATAGGTATCCGGTAAGATAGGGCATTACCAGGAGCTGAACACAAGGCTTCTAGGCTTACAATGAGGCCTACTCTTGTTGATTGTGGATGAAGAACTTCTGATTCAAGAATTTAAGGATCACGTCCAAGCATTGTCTCTTTAACAACTAGTGCAACCCTTACCTAAAAGTTCCTGTTATTGCTATCAGAACTCTCATGCATAGCATCTTAATATCTGCTTCCGTTAACCAGAGATTTGAATTGCTTGGTTCCATGGATGTTACATGATAATTTGTTCATTATTTGTATTTTGCATGCATCAAAATTTCCTCCTTTGTTAAACACTAAATTGAGCATTAAAGGAAGTTCAATCTGCAGGATTTAAGTCGAAGCAGATTGGGAGGTGAATCAACATCTGATTCTTTTATTTTCCTCGAGGTACGTACTACAACTTGTCAATGCTGCAAGGGAAGAACTGGTCATGCAAACTCATTAGATTCTTTCACACAATAATTTCAGCACTTTAAGTTGATTTTTATTTTTTTGATTTAGTTAATCCATTTTGCAATACAAATATATAGTTTATTTTGGATGACTTTCAGGGATATGGTCATTACCTTCTCCAGGAGCTGATGTTGAATGAACCTCTGGAAGAGATGATAGGAAAGTTATTGCAGGTCAATCCATTAGCAGCGACCGAGCTATTGGAAAGCAGGGGCCTGGTTATAATGCCCACGGCATTCGCTGAAGGACTGCACCAATCTCTATAGATGTTGCTGAACATACCAATCTATCAAACATCTAGATTTTTATTTTTCTTTTTTAAAATCACTGTTTCTATACCAAGAAAATGACAAAGGCAAACAACCATTGTTGAGCTTTGGTAACCCCCCATGAAACAAACTCAAAAACATCTATCTAAGTTCACAGTAACTGTGGGAGTTGACTAAGGTCATTTTGCTCTTAGATAGAGAGATACACTTATCTTGACCATCCTTTTTTATACTGTTTGGATAGATTGATTTCAAATGAAAGGATTTGAAATTAAATTTTATAAGTAACATAGGTTAGTTTTCAAATGAAATTCGATTTTGGAATTCATTTCTAAATTTCAAATGAAATTCAACTTTAGAATTCATTTCTAAATTTCAGCTTTGTTCCGTAAACAATTAATGCCCAAATACTTTTATATTTTAGTTTAATTACGTGTTTATGCGATCTTGTGTTTATGCGATCTTTAATTTGATGTTCTGTTCTTTCATTTACAGTCAACAATAAAACAAAAAAATTTGTGAGCAGGTAAAGAACAAAGTTTTTCAACAGTCAAAGCACATCTAAAGTCAATGAGGAGCTTGAAAACAAAAACTTATTTGGTAAATTTTTGGCAAATTTTGTAAAGACTAAAAAACCTAGACATAAAACGACCACTGTTTAATTGAGATTGAGATGGACTCAACTCCAAAATACATTATTATTAACTCCAAAATTGAACATATCTCTATAAAGTTATATTTAAAATAGAAGGCTGACTATTGCAAAAGGGAAGCACCGTGTGCTGTACATGAAATCTAAAAGTAATACAAAAAAATTATTTTTTTTTAGCTTTTTGTTCCATCATAATCTAAAATTCTAACAACTACAATCTAAAACAATTGAGTGGAAGCAAAAATGAAAGGAATTTACATGACATTTATTTCACACGATGGTCTCCGGGTGAGTCAATCTTGATTATGAAAGGCTTTTGAATATCCAAGGGTGGCTCTGCTACAATAGGAAGGCGTGGTTCTGAGCCAAAGATACCCTCTATGTCACCATTTTCTGCGAGTGCTTTGTCCAAGGAAGCCTTTGCAACTTTAGTTATGTATACCATCAGAATCACTACAAACAAACCAACAAAAAAAAATACAGTAAATTCGCAGAACAGTCGTAAACAAAATTATTTCCCAAACCAGTCTTGAGTTTTAACTTTCAATTTTCTGTTTTGAAATGATGACATCATTTTTTCCTTCCATCCAATAAACAAATGGAGGGGTGTCTGTAAATGTTGCTAAAAAAATGTAAAGGGTAGTGGCATTATTTTAGAAACCTGAAGGGTGTTCATCTATATAGTTGTCCTAACCTTGCAGAGTTTTAGTGTCATTTGTCCGATGACTTATTTATTTTTGTTTTTTGATAGGTAAGTTTAAGAGACTCAATATTGAGTCTCTTTATTGTGGGAATGAGGCCTAAGGCCGTTGGGTGTCCCCTAAATCCTAAGCTTTTCCCATTTATTTAATAAATTTAGACAAAATCTACATTTCCCATTGATCCAAAAAATAAAAAACATTTCGAGCATGGCAATTCTTTGAAAAGATACAAGATGATTGCAGAGCACACAGTAGCTGAGGTTGAGGTCATTATAATCTCCCCTCCCTGCCCAATTCCTTTCCATCCCCGGCCCACTGATCACAATCAGCACATGGTTAGCCCCACCGAATGCTGATCCTACACTGCAGTGCCCTTGAGCCCACTTGGTCATGTGTATGGTTTGGCTTCGATACCATAAGTAACAACTGTGAGAACTCGTCTTTTCTTGTGAAGCAATGAAGTTGGTCATTATGACAACTTTATCTCATGCATTAGTAGGGATCCAAACCAAAAATCCCTATCCAAAAAGAACTTAATTCTTGTACCAAGAGAGGTGGTCATTCAATAATTCAAAATCTAGGAAAAGACATTGATCAGTTTTTTAGGATTAGTGACTCGAGACAAGTAAACTATGTAGATGGGAATTATTTTCTTAGCTGGAAAAATTATCTAACTATTTTCTTCTAACAAACTATTCAGCAGCTCTTTCAAATAGACGATGCAATGAGACGCAAATCAATGGAACTTGGAGCTGAATTGTGGCTTACCTGATATCATGAAGCCTGCTGCTATAAGTACCTGCATAACAAGCAAGCAGATTTAGACTATTTAAATGCTCAAGGCCGGAACTAGTGAAGTATAATGCAAGCCTATGAACCTTTTTTCTGGCTGAGTCAACCAATATACATATACCCATCACTTAATGAAAAATGTATTGTTCCTAGCAATGCATTTAGACTTCGATGTCATACTCCAACTTAAATAATAGGTGGTATGGCTCTTACCCAACGAGTTGTTGAAACCTCAGTCCATCCATGTGTGACATCAGAAAGATCCTTCAAAGTTGTTCCAACATATACCAGTGCAAATGTTATTGGCTGTAATAAAAAAGAAAAAGAGGTATTCATTATCTCAATCAAACAAAATATGAAGTATTCATTATCCCACTCAAATAAAATATTTTTTGATAAATAAATAATTTAGTCAAACAAAATTTTTTTTCTTCTCATATTTTTCTTCTTTTCTTTTCCGATAAGTAAAAGTAATTCACTCGAAATAAACCATGTTGTGTTGCATGTCCGTGTCCATGCTTCTTCGGGAAGTGCACTTTTGGAAGCACACGCCCTACCAAATAGAGTTTACTGGTAATTATGGACTAGAAAGGACCATGTTACTGAAATCAAAGAGTGGACAAGGGCTATCATGCATAATGATAGAAAATGATCTCACATTCAAAATTTGCAACTTGCATTTGATGTATTTTTAATTCACACAACATAGCCAATTATAAGCTATATCTAATAGTAATCAATAAGATGACATATTACAAAAAGGAGAGTATACCATCATCCCCACCCAAGAAGCCAACATGTACTCCCCTAGGCGAACTGGCGTCACAGATAGAAGATAATTCATCATGTTAAAAGGAAGTAATGGAACAAGCCGAAGCAGCAAAACAATCTGTGGTATAAGCGCCCAAAAAAGAAAAAGAAAAAAAAAGAATCAGAAATCTTACATCAAAGAAGGATATAAATTTATACATCAAATGAAAATCAATATATATCCCGTGAGCAAGAGAAGCAGGAAACATAGAAGCAAGAGTATATTGTTACATTTATTTATGTTTTGGAAGCTCTAGTTATACAAATTAACGCCTTATACTGAGACACAGATTCCTGCTAGGAAACCAAAATACTCTCTTGATTCAGTTTTACTTGTTACGTACAAAATTCAAGACAGTATTGGAAGTGAACCTTTGGCAGTTGAGCCAAATTTAGACAAATTCATTTGTGAAGAAACTAAATGATTTTTACCTTCATAGTAGGACCCTCTAATAATTAATAATTTTAGGAGAATAAAGATTTAACAAACATTGAGTTCCTCTATGACTATGACTTACAGTGACAGAAAGCATTACTCATCGTCAATTGATTTTTAGTAAAAAAGCACTAAACCCATCCATATTCTACAAGGCAATGAACAATCTCCCCAAAAACTATATATTATAGGAGGATTTTTTGTAGACAAATTAATTATTAAGTACTAGAATCAATAATCATACACCACAGAACAGAGTTGGTTTCTCAAAAAATATAACCAAACCAAACCAAACCAAGCCTTAAGTCCCATCAAATGGGGTCGGCTACATGAAACCTTCTTCTCCACGCGACTCTATCAAAGGCCATTTCGTTAGTCAAACTAAGTAGATTCATATCTCTATTTACTACGCTAGCCAACGTCAATCTAGGTCCCCCCCCAATTAACATACCTCCATGTTCCTCATTTAACAGTTTCTCAAAATAGTTCTTCCTCCTCTCCTTAATCTCCTCATCCTTCATCAATACCTTAGAATCCTCACTCTCGATGCACTTGATTAAAATCTCTTATTTTCCTCGCCCTTATCTTAACAAGTTTGTAAACCATCTTCTCTCTCTCCTTACAATCTAGTCTAATGTATAGGTCATTATAAGCTTTCAACTTAGCGTTTCTCACTACTTTCTTGACTTCCTTATTAGCCAATCTATAGCTCTTCAGGTTTTCCTCAATTCTATCTTTCTACCACTTTTCAAAGCACTATTTTTTCACCTTAACTACCTTGAACCTCTTTCCTCCACCACCAAATTTTCCTACAGTTGGGTCCCTTTTTCGACTCGCACTCATGCTGCGCATTGGATTTTGTTATCCATTGCAAAGATTGCCTAAAGCATTTTGCACTTGGTCTCCATCTTTATAACAACAATTATTTGTAAAATCTTCTTACTCCTTGTGATGAAGTGTTTTAAAGAGTTATTACTTAAGACCATCTATGATTGCAAGTTTAAATTAGTTTTTTGTAGATCAAATCACCTTTTGAACTTTGCAATAAACTAGACGTTGCTCAACTGAGAACACAAAAAAACTTATTACTAATTTAGTGCATTATAATTTACAAAGAATATCTATCTCGAATATGACACTCTTTTTGGTAACATCAGAATAAAACAACATATTCAAAGATACTCCAAGTTAACTTTTACTCAACCTTAAAGCCCGATCTCTGAATTGCAATAGCAACGGCATGAAACTTTGGATAATTCTTTAACTTAGAAATAACATAAGATCTTCCAATCTGCAAAGAAGTAATAACAAATGATGATTTTCCGACAACATTCAAAACATAGATGGTGAATATCTTAACTCATCCTAAAATATATATTGGTGAACATGTTCTTAAGAATGAAAAAATCAGGCATCTGGCTTACCAGCAAGCACGGATGCCTGCATTTATTCATCCTAGGAGAGGTTTGACCATTCCAGAGACTTACCGTTCTGCCAAGAAGAAATGCAGCTGTTGCGCCTAAGGTAGCACCAATAGAATCAGCAAAAAATCCTACTGGCAACCCAAAGAGATAACCACCTCCAAGCTGCAACATTAAAAGTACAAAAAAATTATCAAAAAAAAATAAAATTAAAAGTACAAAAACAATGTATGACTTAATCCCAAGTGGAATATCAAAAAGTAAAAAAGGAAAGCCAATTTTCACAATCAACCTGAAAAGGCACAAGTTAGAGCCATCCACAATCATTTATTTGTTAATTACAAGCTATCATATTTTTCACTCAATGGCAAAGGCAACCCTTCTCAATACAGCATTTCAACTTCAATCAAATAACCTTACAGGAATAATTGCTAATATTCCATTTACCTGCCTAAATTACCATATATTGCCCAATATATATATAGTTCATCCATATGTCATTTTGTTGTAGTAAGAACTCATAAAAGGCACTCATTAATATGTTAAGTTTCTATTTTGTAAAATACAAATAATAAATGAAAGTTTGTCCAAATAAGATAAAGAGCATCAAAAATTAAAATTCAATACCTACCGTAAGTACTGAAGCTGGAACTGCACAAACAGTAAGAGGAATATATGCAATAGCCCTGTAAAATCCCAAACTTGTGAATCAAAGGAAAAATTGAGAGAGAAAAGAGAAAACAAAAAAGCAGTTTAATACTTCGAACTTCAAAAATGTTTGGATAGCCCAAGACTAAGTGCATTATATCAATCATACATGAACACAAATTTCCTTCAATTTGGAAAGTACTACTTATGCTGCTACTCTCAGCTACCAGATGGCTTATAGAGTGCAGAATCATGCCTTTGATCTAGCTCTTCTCAGAAATTCCGGAGATGCTTTAGTCCTAAGCATTGACTCTCCAGAGCCAACATCCAGACATAATTGCTAGAGAGGGGTTATTCCATTAATCGATGTCTGTAGCTTCGAACCATTCTAGCCAGTTTCAATCCTCACAGCTACATGTGGCCTAATTTTGTGTACTACTTTCTTTAAATAATGTTATCTTTCCTCAAAAAATATTCTTTTTTAACATTAATCATATATCATAATGCATTACAAAAAGAAAAAAGATAGGAAAAAATAGGTGCATTGCATACAATTTTATGTTTTTAACAAATATGTGCATTGCATATGCTCTGATAATTATAAATAGACATTATCTTACATTGTTCAGCTTCAAAATGTTATAAAGCATTCATGCTTCCCAAGTTCCAAAAAGCTTGGGACTAGAGTAGGTGACAAGTATGGCCATGAAATAATACTACCGTTCGAGAATCATATCTTGTTTCCATGTTTTATAGCACTAAGAAATGAAGTGAACATCCTCACGTCTACTAAATTGGAGCAGCACTATATACCTCTAGTCACAATCTATTTAATCCATTCTTTCTCTTTCTTCAGCTTCATCCCAAAAAATAGCCAATTAACCCCCCCTCCCCCACCATTGAAAAAAAAAAGGAAGAAGAAGAAGATTTTGGTATCATATTCTATTACCTTCATCTTGAGAATTAGCCCCTTCTAATAAAAATAAAAATAAAAAACTAAAAAGCTAAGGCTATGACCAGGACTCATACTTGGGTCCTTGATGTCAATGTTACCGGGTGAGTACTAGCCACTAGGAAGCAAACTTAAACACAGACACAAATCAAAATAACTTCACAACATCTTTTTAGAGCCAGAAATTGAATGCCGCCCCCAATACTAAATATAACTTCTACACATGTCAAAGTAATAATGGTGCTGTTTGGTGTAACTGTTAAAACAGATTATAAATTATAACTTAACAAATTATAGATTACGACTTTAATTAGAAGCTGTTAATCTGTTTGGTATAGTTGTTAGATTATCGATTTAAGTTACTGAGTAGTGTTTGTTAAATAAACTGTGAAGTAGCTTTTTCAATTAATTTTTATTTTTTATTATTTACTATTTGTCTACATTTCTCATAAAAAATAATAATAATATTTTATAGTCTATTCGGGTCTTTTTTTATTTTTAAAAAATAAAAAATAAAAAAATTTAAGAGTATAACGTGAATTAACATGTTCACAGCAGAAGCTGATAATCAGAAGCAGGGGATGAGCAGCTTCTCAGAATCAGCTTTTTTGACTTAAAATAAGTTGTTAGAATCAGAAGCTGTTTGAAATAAGTTTAACCAAACAGTCCAAAATAACTTTTTAAAAGCCATAAGTTAGCTAAAAAAAGCCCCACCAAACACCCCCAATGTAAAGTAGATAATATCATGAACTATGAAAAGCTCTACCCTAAGAAACTAATAGCATGGAAAAGAGTATATGCAATACTTTCCATCAATATGTATATATATACATATAAATCTTCAAGACCGATATTCTAGTCATTCCTCCCAAAATTCCTACCAATAACCTTCGATATATCCAAAATGTTTGGGATTATTTATCCATGGTATTTTATATCTTGCTTAATTGCATCATGTTTAATTAACCTTGATCATGAATCACAATCCATACAAATAAATGAAAGATGGAGTTTATAACTTACAGCACAAGTGGACCCCAAGGCCCCAGATCCTGCTTAATCCATAGCAAGAAATCTTTCAAAATCTGCCAAAAAAATACACGGATGGTCATGAATTTTGTGGAAATGAAAAAGGACATATAAAAATAAATCACTTAGCCATTCCTCGTATACACATTAACACCATGTTGTGCATCATCCTTGGATGACAGGTAACAATTGAAGGCTTTTCTTTCTTAGGACATTGTATCTTTTATACATTGCAATTTTTCAAGATCTTGAGTAATTAATTAAGTTCCGTGAAATTGTGCCACTTTAGCTATCATACAAGTTATTTGCAAAGAGAGCAACTTTATTTTTCTGGGCTTTGTTAAGTTTAGTGTCTGATTCTGAGTAATGGATAATTCACAATTCAAAGCTTGCTCCATGAAGCTTCACGCTCTTCATGGATCCCTCCCTGCCCTCTCTCTTCGAATGGCTTCTTACAAATACAATCAATGTCTAGAGTTGCACTCGCAGAATCGGGTGAAAGTCTACTAGTTGCCCTACAAAAATTAATTATGAAACTACTCTTATAGACTTCTCGGATCACTAAATTTAGTTAGTTCACCAGTTGTCTTACGCTGAGCCAGTTGGTCATCTGCACTTTTGGTAAGTAAGAGTGGGCTCTCCATATGAAGCCAAAAAGCTGAAGAGAGAAACTTAATTGGTTTATTTTGCAAAAATGCTACAAATAAAAGCAAAATATCTTATTCAAAATATTTATTTTATCAAACAATTTCCTATTCCCAAGGTTGTTTACAGTAAAGAAAACAAAACAAAACCCTATTTTCATAACCAAAAACATAATTCACATACTATTTGACAAAAATGAGAACAACTTTAGAATTGAAAAAGTAGACCAAATATTTTATACCAAACCCTAAAAATTCAAATCCAGAATCATTGAAAGCAGCATTGATCTCCAAAAGAATATTAGGTGAATGTAAACACAGATCACACAAGTTCCATCACAGATCACAAATACATGGATTAACAGAGAGAGAGAGAGAGAGATAGAGGGACCTTTTCGACGGGAAGAGAAATGAAAGCAAAGGCAATGGAGGCGAAAAGGAGGAGGAAGAGGGAGAAGCGGAAGAGGGAGGAGCAAGAGAGAGGCAGCACCGCCATAGACGACAGAAGACGGCGGCGCCAAGGGCGAGAATCGTCGTCGTCTTGGTGGTGGTTCCAGATCTCTTGCCTCAACGACGACCTTGCCCTCAAACCCCCCACCACCCCCGCGTTTGCCAGATTTAGCTTCCCCAGATTTTTAGCCAGATAGCCCTAATCTTTCTATATTTAGCCTCAAACCCCCCTCACCTCCACCACCACCAAAATCAATCAATCTCTCTACTCCAAATATAGTGTATATATATTCATATATGCATATATACATACATACATACAGAAGAAGAAGAAGAAGAAGAAGAAGAGTGTTGGTACAATGATAGAGTAGTTTGAGTGATTTTGAGAGAGTCAATTCATCGTCGTCTTCGATCGACACTACTACTGTCATCGGCTTCCATTTTTCTCTCTCTCTCTCTCTCTCTCTCTCGTTCTCGATCTCGCACTTCGCGGGTCTTCCACGTGGCCCAGGCCGAGCCGAGTGTTGATGGATCTTAAGACACTCTCACGCCACGGGTAGTGTTTGATATTTGAGCCCAATTTCTAACTCTAATTTGTAATACCCAAAATAATAGCTATTCGGGCTCAACTTCTAAGTCCAATTTGCATAACTAATATTGCTTTTTGGGCCTAATATCTCAGTCTAATCTGTATACCGAGTATTGCTATTTGGGCCGGAATTTATATCGCAAATGCAATTGCCACTATTTCACAAACAATAATACTAATAGATGCCCTCATATTTTGCACATTACATTATATTTATTCCACGTCAATTTTTTTAGGAGAATTGACTGAAAAATCCTATTAAAAAGATGGACAAATTACATATACACCCCTCGAGATTTGGCTAAATTACAGATATCCCCCTGAGGTTTGAGAAATTACGAATTCCCCCCTGAATGCTATATTTGCATAAGAAATTAGGGGGTAATTTGTTATGAAATATAAACCTCAGGGGGTAAATTGTTATAAAAATACAAACCTCAGGGGGCGGGATGTAATTTCTGAAACCTCAGGGGTATCTGTAATTTAACTAAACCTCGAGGGGTGTATATGTAATTTGCCCTAAAAAGATTAATACACCAATAAGACTTCTTATTAGAAAGGTTCAATTTTTTTAAAATATATTTTTTAGCGTCGCTTTCATAAAAAGTGTCAATTTTTAATGACAATTTAAAAAATTCATCACCAAAAAAAATCAATAATTATCACTTTTTTAGTGATAATTTAAAAATTATCGCAAAAAAAAAAATTAATTGTCAATTTTTTCTACAAATTCATAAAATTGTTGCAGAAAATCTTTTTTAACAACGATTGTAATAAAACTTAACTTTCAGGGATGAATTATAGGACTTAATAGAAATTTACGGTCCAACTATTAGTACTTTTTTATTTATACAAACACCAGCCCTTATAATAGGGCTTGTGAGTAATTGTTCATTTTTCTTTATTGTGTCAATTTAATCAAATTAATAAATTCATTAATAAATTAGATATCAATCAAGGCCAAACTCATACATTAAAATATATATATATATATATAATTTTAAATTCGACACTAACTCTTCAATTACTTTGTTGAGATGAATGAACTATTTTTCTTTAATTTCAATCCGATTTTTAAATAGATGTCATCAATTGGAATAAATCAACAAAATGTAAATAATTCAAAAGTAAAATTGATAATATTTTTAATATGCTTCTTTATTACTATATTTAGATATTTTTGATTTTTTAAATTAAAATTCTCTCATAGCAAACAAAGGCTTAAATTAAAATAATTAAATTAAAAGTAGGGAGTGTTGACTAACAGACTAACCCATTAAAAAAGTAGCTTCGAGGAGCATATTTTTTTTGTTGATGCAAGAGACCGCCATTGATGGTCACAATACCTTGAACAAGTTGCAGAGTATTTTTCAAGGAAGGGTTAATATACGCGACGACGAGTCTACGATCCATCGTGTGGTCCTCTCCAGAGCAATAAGCCCAATTGGTTATCCATACTCTCATCATTTTTTTTTTATAATTAGGTATTCGGACTAACTAATGCGCACATTAACTAATTCTAAGACCGTGAAATTAACAATTAAACAAATCTCTAATGGTCTAAGATTTGGAATGTTTGGCTTATGTAGAATTCAAACTTCCAATTGCATTTTCCTTCCACTAAATCAAACATTGAATTATCTATATTCTCATCGATACAAATATATATATTCTGTCGGTCATTTGTGTAGTACCACCACTCTTTATATGAGGAAGAGGCATTGATTCTCATCACAATATTTTTATTTATTTTTTTTATTCTTTTTATTCTCATCAAAACCAATCACCAAATTGTTTCTTCAAATTCTATTTGATTTTTATCCCACATTTATTAAAAAAGAAATAAAGATAAAAAGAACAGAGCCTATTGGTAAGTGTTTTTCCATGGAGATCTGTATTCATTCACTATATTTTATAGTTTTTTTTTTATGATGTTGTTTTTTTGGATAAGGTATGTAACCAGAAAACAGAAAAGGCAAAATTCTATGTAGACATCCATTTTTCAAAAAAAAAAAAAAATGTGATAGAGGTAGTTATGTGGTTTTGTAGTGGTTGAAAATGAGATTCTTGTGATGTTTTTTATTATTACATTTTTTAGTGTTTGATAATGAAGCTTTCTCATGCTTTGTTATGCATCGAAATGACTTTAATTATGACATTTTTTTAGTGTTTTATTATGAATTAATTTGGTGATTATAACCCAATCTTTTATGTTTTTTTAAAAAAAATATAAAAATGTTCGTGGATTACACAATAAGATTATTTATGCACACGGATATTTTTAATTTTTTTATTAAATTGTTTTAGTGTACTTTATTCCTCGAACAATATGAGATTTATGTGATTATTTTAAAATGATAAGAAACCCAATCCACAAAAAATAAAATAAAATTTGTCTACAAATTAAGAAAATTACATATAAGTGAAAGGGTGCAGCACATAATTACAAAAATGTGAGAATCTTGTGGTGAGTGGACTTGCGCCTTAATATATTGGTAATTATTTTAGTTACATACTGAATTTTAATTACCCAAAAAATTAATTGATCAATGTTTCAATCCGATGGAGGAGATATTTGCTCTTATAAATAAAAAAATATATGTGTAAATTAAACTCATCTATCTTGAACTTTAGAAAAAAACATAACTAACCTCATAATTTTTGGCATAATTATACTAATCTCTTTTAAATTTTAATTTACATAATAATTAAGTTATTTTTCATCAATAGTTCATTAGTCGTATAAGTAAAACAATGATGTTATCATTTTTTTCTACTAAAATATATATTTTATTTCTATTTATTTTAGTATATGTGCATTATCTGCATTAATTTTAATTATTTTAATCTTATTAATATAATTATATCAAAAATATGAAATTAATAAGAATTTTCTTTAAATTATTGAAATGATGGTGATGAGGACTGTGTAGTATTGAGAGGACCATTGAGGTGCCTAGAACTCTATATAGCCGCGAATAAGTCTATGGATCCGGACATAGATTTTTGAATTTATCTCAAATGAAAGTGTGTGGTTAGAATTGAATTTTATGAATAAAATAAATTTAAATTATAAAATGATAATTTTAAATAATTTTTGAATAATCAAATCTATATTTATAATATTAGTGTAAGGTTTAGTATGTGTTTATCTTTTTTTTTAAATTTGGTCATAAATCTCTCTTACCTTTATTTTTTTGTTAAAAAGACAAAAAAAAAAAAAAAAAATCCAAGGTTGCGTTTGGTTGTGTTTTGTAAATGTGATTTGAGAGTATGAGTTGTATTTTGAGTTTGTGGGTTGTAGAATTATGATTTGAGTGTAGAAAATTTGTTTGGTTATGGTTTTTAAATAGAGTGTTGAATTGTATTTTGAAGATGTATTTTGAATTAAATTTTGAAAGTTTGATTTGACATGTGAAAGGTGAAAATTTGTTTGGTGATGTGTTTTGAAAATAGTTTTCAAAACTTAATTCAACCAATAATTTATCATCAAACACACAACTCGTATATCGATATCCATTTTTTTTATCAACAATAATAACCAAACTATTTTTAAAATACTGAAATTAAAAATTGATTTTTTTTGTCAATTAATTTTTTATTTTGTAATTTTTTTGAATAATTGTTTTTCGAAATAATTTTTTCATTTTAAAATAAACTTATGTCAATTATTTTCTGTCAATTAATTTTTCTATCAATTCATTTGTAAAATGCGTTTTTAATTTTTTTCTAACATTTTGTTAAAATCAACAACTTTTGAAAATACATATTAATAAAGAAGGAATAAATACACTAAATTTAATATTTTAAAATACAAATCATAACGTAAATCTTATAAAACATTATTAATTTTTTTTCCATTTATTACATGTTATGAATTTCGTCCATATGTGGCAACAGAAATGCAATGCATTATTGTACCCATTGAGCTCATATAATTGTGGGATTGACATACAAAATGACTATTATGCCCCTCTTGACTTAAATGGAAAGTGATTACATAGAACAAAATATAAAGGGTAAGATAGTAATTTCACTTACTTATGACCTACCCCCTATTGTTTCATAGTTGTGTGTTCAACATTGAGGTAAAGAAAAATGAGAGGCTGCAGCTGTGTACTCAATACACGGATGTGATATATATATAAAGTAATAATATTAAAATCAAATCATATTTAACAAATAAAAAGTAAATAAAAAAAATTCCAAACTGAACCTTTTGAATCTCACCCTTTCTATTAAATTTGAATCTCATTCTGTTTACCACACCAACTTCACCATCTCAGAAACACCTTCTCCAGTTACATCAAAAAACAAAAATTAGAGAAATAGAAGCATATCCACCATCTCATTAGGTCCTCCTTCTCTACTTCCATAATTTACAGGTTAGTTTTGATGCCAGTTCATCTTCATATTAGCTTCAGACATTAGCTTCAGTTCATCTTTATATTAGCTTCAAACATTAGCTTCAGAGGGAGTGAGGGAGGGAAGAGGAGGACAACCGGCCGGTCATCCCACCGGTCTACCGGCCGGTCATCCCACGGGACATCCGGCCGGTCATCCCGGCCCAGTCACCATTCCACCTCCGTATCTGTTCGCTTTGTTTCATATCTGTTCCATTTTCATCCGTTATATTTTTTTATTTCTGTTCTAATTTTGTCACACTATCATTTATTTATCTGATTATCAGTTTCGAAGTTATAATAAATTGAATGAAACAAACCTAAAATAAATGAGAAATATCATTTCCTATGATTTTTTATTTATTATTATTATAAAAATCTGTTTCTATGGCATCTGCCTAATTAAATTTTGTCACCAAATTTTTTTATATTTATTTTTTACATAAAAATAAGTTTGTATGTACAAAAATGTACCAATGGTTGATATATTTTTCATACATATTTTTTACCTCTCATATGTTTTAATAT